AGATAGGATTAGATTTTTTTCTTGCATTTTTATATTTAATTCTGACAAATGCATTGTAATATCGACAAAAAATGCAAGATGTGTTATTCATTTGCAGTCTGAAAGTTCTTTAACAGGTTTTCCTTTCATTTCCAAAAATAATTTTATTTCTGGTAAGAGATTGTAAAATCTTTGTAAAACTGAAGATTTGCTTAACCATCTGATATCAGTAAAATAAACGTCATTATATTCAGCATCAATATCAGATAAAAATTCTTTAAACTGACGATGGTTCAATGCACGACCCCTCAGAAAGTTCACTGTAAATACTACAATATCCATAACATGTTCAATATTAATTTTCTTAGCGCACAAATTCATGTGCAAAACACAACAGCAAATAAATAAATCACTTGAATTTTCATTTTGTGCTAATTTATTCAAGAGAATACCAATTAAGCTGCATCGCTCTCCTCTGAAAGACTGGATGCCATCAGTTGTAATTCCATTCAGTTTTAATAGTGAAAGTTCATTTTTTTGTATAATCAGAATAACAATGAAGATTTTTTGCTAACAGATTACAAATTTCATAACTGGCTTTTGTAACAGATTCAGATTCATTACTTGTCTTCATAGAATACTTGCTGAGAGGTTACAGCTTTTATCAGCATTTAAGTCTCTAGTAAACTGGTCATATTTATTGGAATGTTTAGTGGTGTAATGCCTTTTAATGTTATATTCCTTAAAAACTCCAATGCTTTCTAAACAAATTAAAAGTTTTTTCATAATGAATGAAAAAGTAATTATATTTCCATGATTCATTATAAATTTAATTTCCATCTTCAATTTTTCTTTTCTTTTTTGTTGACATCTAAAAATTGAGGATAAAATAAAATGAATAAAATACATCACTAATAAATATAGTAAAAGCTTGATGTAATGGACCACTACTGGACTGAAGATATTGGTTCATTATAATAGTGAGGTTGAGGCCGAAGTTTTAAACGCAAAAACATGTACGTCGGACATTCAGTGCCGCTTTCCCGTAAGCCTAGAAGTTTGACAATGGTGTTTGGAATGTCAAGCATGATTCCACTGACTATCCAAACAGAAAGCGGTGCTGAATGTTCGATGTACATGTTTTCACATTTAAAACTTCGGCCTCAACCTCGCTATTGAAAGACCATGTCTGGTCTTGACTTACATTTATCTAGCTCTATTCTAGAATTTAAGGAAGGACAGACAGGCAGACGGATGACAATGGTAAACAAGTTGATCGGGAAACAAAACCAAAACTGAATGTAATGTGAAAAATCTTCACCAAAAAAAAAATGATTAAAATGAACTTTATATTATTATTGCATATATTTTTTTCAAATAAAGTAAATAAAACTATGACTATGACAATATAAATAAAACAATGATTGGACTAAATTAAACAATGACTAAAAAGTCCGTAATAACGATGGTCTGCAGGACCTGAAAAATAGTCTGTAGTAGCAGAAGTTTGTTAAAATGAATGAATTTTCTTATAATTTTTGTATACTTTTGGCTGAACAGACATCAGCTGTCCATTATATCAAACTTTTGTACAAAGCCACATATGAACTTCAAGGTCAGTCCAGCATTGAAAGTAATGTGAAGTTGAAATGTTCTCATATGTGGTTTTTGTATTTATTATCGTCAAAGCCTGAAGTGTTCTTAAAATAATAATTTTCTAGTTCAAACATTTCAAATTTCAATTTTGGAAATTAATAGTAACATTTATTATTAAACAAATTCTCACTTCGATATTTAAAATTTGAAATTCCACATTAAAAATTCTTTTTCAGTAAAATTTGAAATATTTAACATATCTTTTTCTATAATTCAGATAATTCACAGTAGATTAATAGTATATGATTTGCAAACAAATCAAAAAATTAAATGCAATGATAGAAAGCATTTGTAAAACTTTACAGTTCTGTATGAAGTGTCAATTGAAGTTAAGTTAAATTACAAGATATAGGGTATGTTTCTATATTCAAAGATTGGCTTGACAGTGATAAAACATTTTTAAATAGACCATTGAGTTGTCCGTTGAAGCCTGTGATGCCAGTGTTGGTCCACCATTGAGCACAATGGTCTCAACAATCTGAAACACCGTTGAGTATTCAACAAACTAACATGGCAGCTTTCATGAAACAAGTAAATTTTGCTTATAGAAAGTATTGATTCACTCTTGCTGTGGATGCTGTAATAGCAGACAGATTAATGAATGGTCTGCTTGTGGTGAAATTTGTGATTGAACAATATGCTGGATAAGTTTGAAATATTAAGCTTTTTTCAGAGACAAACTACCTCCATGAATTTGTCCAAAATTTGATTAAGACCAATGTTTGGTTTTCTTTACATCTTCCTAATGATATAAATATTCAAGAAATCCAAATTATTGAAGAAAGACCCAGTATAGAAGAAAATGATAGATAAGGGTTCATTTGAATAAAAGTTTTATTTGGATAATGTTTAAGTGAGTTACTTCAGTTATTTAGCAAAACAGCCACAATCGTCGCCTTCTCCTTGATTAAGTCAGCCATCATAAAAAGTGCCCTTTCAATGCAAACGTTTCTTTTTTCTACAAAACGTGACAACAGATCGTTCAACTGAGAACTCACTGGTGATATAAATGTTGAATTTAGAAAAGTACGGATAGAGTTGGCCCTTAGGTTGGTTCAGTTTTGCATCTTTAAGGGGTGATAGAATTGGTTACAAATGCACATATACGTTGGGTTTCATTTAGTCTTGAAAAGGATTCAAGTGCATGTGGACAGTTCACAAGTATATGTGCATTCATAAACAATTCTAGCACCCCTTAAAAATGGACCATCCCAAGGGCCAACTCTATTGTGCCGACTATATACTGTATACAAAGCTAGCTCTTGGTATTTAGTATGATATGATTACAGATGGCTTGAAGTCAGTATTTTATACAGGGTTATATTGTTTTGTAATATTTTCTGTGACATCGGCTGCACAAAATACTAATGCAGGCCACAGGTTGCCCATTCCTGGATTTACATTTCAAAGCTGTGCAGTTCACTGAGTATTCCATAACACCAACAGCAAATGTATACAGTCGACCCCCCTATAACGCGGTAGATACATTCCACTTTATAAGAATCTCTTGTAGGAATCCTTAAATACATGAGCCAATCACAGCCTGGCATGTATGCAGTGTACGGACTATGGCTGTTTGAAAGGTTTACAAAAATTATTTTGTAATTCATTATGGACTTGAAGGCAACAGTTAAAATGCATAAAATATGGAATGATCTTAAATAATATTTCGTATGTATAAACCATGGCAGCATGTAACTTGCAATAGCCTTTATCTGCAGGAAATTGCTAGAATGATAATAGTCTTACATAACTTGCCATAAAATTAATTGATTCTAGACTAATTTGACTTAACATTTCCAACACATGTATAATTTTTTGGGAATAATCCGTATAAACTATGCTATAAACAAAAAATTGTAGGGTTGCTTACCGAGTGTGCATTGTTCGACAACACCATTGCTTAAGCTTTTCTGATAAGTTATTTTTCTGATTCTTGGTGCGTTTTCTGATAAGTTATTTTTCTGTGAAAAATTCATTGAACTTTGGAGACATCATTAATAGAAATAATTTTTATAGCTGTTAAATAAGAAATGTTTTTTTCACAAGAAATGTATAAAATTACATACTGTATTAGACTTACAGCACCTAATTTAGGCCTATATACTATACGGACGATAGTAAACTCAACTTACCCGCCTAAACTCTCCGTAGCGTGTAAGTAGTTTGGCTGTTTGTCCACTATTGGTCCAGATTCTATCAATCCTGTCGAATCTTTTTGTTTTTATAACTGCCTCACACTGTTGGTTCAACCATGATTTTGGATATTTTTCATACCTTACAGATGTTCTTCTGATTGAACATTTAGCTGCCTTGATAATGTGATCTGTTTGACTTCAACTGCATTGTCAATATCTGGGATATTAACCATTTCTGTCATGATGACAGCTAAAGATGAATATTGTCTTCAGTTAATTTTTTCCATTTTCTATCATGGAGGATGTGTTGCTTGGCTCATAGTCACTGGAAAGCAAGTCAGACCAATATTCCATTCAAATTCAGGGAGAATAAAGTTATGTTTTCAAAGAACTTGAAATGAGTTTGTTGACGAAAACGCATGACAAATGTTTATTTAATTTTGATATAGAAAGAACATAATTATGCATACAAATATATATACAGAAAGAAAACAATAATCTTGAGGTACAGTACATGCACAAGACAACCACTACTTTTCTATTTCAAACTACCCTTTACTGTTATGACAAAATATTTCTCTGCCATCTCTGCCAATGTGGTTTGAAATCAATATAGTCACTCCACCATTAACACAATTATTGCTAGCATCATCTCTGCAGTGGAAATTAAATTCTCATAATGATATTCTCTCCCTAGGTTACAAACATGTTTTCTAGAGGGCCACACAGATGGGATTGAAGATGTTAGTTATTTAATGTTGAGAGATTGTTTCAAAAACCTCAACAGTTCCATTAAATTATTTTGTAATTCATTATGGACTTGAAGGCAACAGTTAAAATGCATAAAATATGGAATGATCTTAAATAATATTTCATATGTATAAACCATGGCAGCATGTAACTTGCAATAGCCTTTATCTGCAGGAAATTGCTAGAATGAAAATAGTCTTACATAACTTGCCTAACCATTTACTCTGGGCTTATGGGAGCAGTCATCAACTCCATAGGTATGAGTTTATAATTGCAATTTAAAATCAGTATATTACCTGTTCCATTGCATAATCCATATTCCATTCAAGATGTCTTTTAAACACAGATAATTTATGGGTTATATGCACAAAAATATAGTAATTATAACTGTGTTTAAACATGTCTTTAAATATTTAATTCTTTAAGAATAAACTTTGTTTTATTTTAATTCTTGTGTAATATTTTTTATTTACCAAGGATAAATCAATTCAAGATAGAAAAGGAAAAGGTTTGCCAAAAAAATTTCCCATTGCTGGTGTTGAACATGTTGTTCTTGTTGCTTCTGGAAAAGGTGGTGTTGGAAAATCTACTACTGCAGGTTTGATAATTAATTCTTCAGCTTTAATTTTTTAATTCTAAAGTATGATTATATATGATTATTTATGAAATAAGATTTTTTTATTAAGTTTGTGAAATATTCAACTCAGATTTCATTTGTAAACAAAGTGAATCTGTCAGTTTATTATAAGTTTAAATATTTAATACCAATGTGCAATATTCAATTCAGAAAGTGAATCTAATGGTTCCTCTTTAATGTGAAATATGGGCTTTGGGTTGTTTAATGTACTTAGAAAAAAATACAGTTTAATATATGTTTATTTCTCATGTTTATTTCTCATTTATGAATATTCCAGAAAGTTTTTAAATTTTATTTTATGAAATATATGCAAATGTGATTTGTAATTTCACAATTAGCTGGCACATGTGATAAACTTGGAAATACAAGCACAATATAAAAGACTGAATAAAATATAATTTGTTTTAAATGAAAGATCTTAGCAAGATAAGATTATCAGATGTTTTCTCAAGAAGTTTTGAGCTTATAAAATTTACTGAAAATTTTTTATTTGAAATGAGATATAGATTAAAATATATGACAAAGATAAGTTTATTATTATATTTAATTATTATTTTATGATTTATATAATTAAAGTAATTTTTTCAATACTGAAGGATTAAGATAAGAAAAGTTCTTGTCTTTATAATGATAAGAGATTTTTATATAAGTTGACAGAATACAAAATATTGAAAACATGGTTTTTAAACTTTTATGTTATATCTTAAATATGGTTTAATAGTTAAATAGGATATAAAATATTTTTTATAATTAGTTTGTATTCTTTATTTATATGACTGCAGTATTAAATATTTTTCTTTCTAGATTATTTTATTTGGAATTGTTTCAGAAATGCTCATAAAAAATCAGAATGAATTATAAATATCATTTTATAATTAAAATTTTTAAATATATAAAACATACTATACTAAAGTGAAATTTTCTTACAAAACAAATAGAAACCACAGTAATCGTTTCACTGAAATACTCTTTCACTATGATGCCACTCTCAAAATTTATTTCAAGTCCCTCATCAGTTGCATAGTGGCACCTATATAATAATTCTTAAAAAAATCTTAAAAATTCACAAATTAGAAATATTTTAAAATTCTCTCTCTATACATTAGTTTTTACAATGAATTTTTTTTCATTTGAACAGGAACATATCCATAGACATCAAAAATTACACATAGTACATCATGAAGTCAAACCTAATTATTATTATAGTTATTAATGGAGGAAAGATAAACCATAAAACCAAATATTTAAGAAAACATTTAAAATGCCAAATTATTAACTCAATTTTTGCAAACTGTTGTAACTCCTCCACTATCATCTTGTAGCTTCTTGCACAAGCTATCAATATTGTTGTATATTTTTGAAATCTTATAAGTTGTCATTGGTAGCTTTAGTGCTTTTTCCTGTTTACCATTTCCTTCTGCTGTTGTACAAATTTTCTGTAATCATCATGTTTAGTTCCTCATTTATGGGTTCTACAACTGATACAGTATGTTGTCAATATCTGTCTACATTCCTCAAGCTCCTTACCTGCTTTGCATCTTTTATATTATTGGATTATTATTATTATTATTATTATTGTTGTATGGAAATACATATTTACTGTAATACTCTGTTTACATAATTGTGACATAAACTTTATCATGCATGGTTTTGCAAAAGGCATTATTATTGCAATGTGGTGACTTCAGTTTGGTTAAAAACCATTTAAAAGTTGTTTTGAAATTTTCAAACTAATATATCAAATGAATTTTTTAATTATGTTATTTGTGTACATTAGTTGCTGTACTTTGCTTGGTTATATCAAAAAAATAAACATTGAAGATAACAGAAAGTATGTTTTTACAAAAACAATATGGTAATGAAAATATTTTAAAAGCATTTTGTGAATGCATAAATGTGTCACAAATAGTTGTGACACATTTAGGTCACATCTTTTCAATTATGAAAATAAAAGCACAAATACCAATAATTATCTGTATTCTAGAGCAGTGGTTCTTAATTAACCATTTTATACTTGTGGCCCACCAAATATTTCATAATTTTTTGTGATCCCCATTTTTTTTAATAATAATTTATATTTGTTAAATTATCTATAATAAATTGATTTTTTTATTATTGCTTTATTTTTAAAATTCCAAGCATTAATAGTTTCTTAGAATTACTTTGGAATAAAAGAAGTAAATACTGCAATGTAAGTAGCATATTTGCATTTATTTCTTCTATGTTAACAAAGTTGTATGTAGGAAGAAAACTTTATCTTTCTTATTTCACTTTTCAATACGATATTTGGTTATACATTAATTTTCTTTTTATTATATTCTGAAGGAAATTTTGCATAATTTGGCAGCCTCTGGAAAACTACTTATGGACCCCAAAGGGGCCACGGCCCCCCTGTTAAGAAACACTGTTCTAGAGTACATTTGTAGGATATGTTGCTCTATTTTTAGAATTATTGATTTACAATATAAATTTTATTTATTTACGTACTTAAAAATAAATAATAATTATTTATGTTTCACAACTTTAATTAATAATATATTTGTATTGTTTTCAGTTAATCTGGCACTTGCTTTTAAAGCAAACGAAAAGGTAAATTTTTAATGAAACTTATCAAATTTAATTTTGTAGTTTAGACTTATATCTGAGTTAAAGTTTTAATATTTTTTATATATTTCTGTTATAATAGCTGTGTATTCCAATTGAGATATGATTTGTTTTCTTCAATGTGACTTATTATAAATTCTGTATATAGGCTTTTCCTGCTTAACATTTTTGGTAGAACATCTCAGTTTTTAATACCCAAATTTCATGTATGTATTTATCAATGCAACATTTTTCAGCTAATGTTTATAAAGAAAACTTTTATATTTACCTTGTAAAAGTTTAATACATTTTTAAAAAACAATCTGCAAGGATGTCTGAAATTATATTTAAATACGAATGTTAGAATTACATGTAGACATTTTGAAAGGTATCCCAAGTATCAAGAAATGGAATATACATCTCAAATATTGCTAGTACTGAAGAGGCATAGTAGCATCTTATCATACAAACTCTCCATAGGAGAAAGATGAAACATGCTTTGGTGGCATTACTAACTGTAGTCACTTAATTCTCCAATTTACAGAAATTGTTAAGAATATGTTGCGATCTGTTTTTTTTTTTATTGTAAATTTTTGTCTGCATTTTTGTAAACAAATCTCTCTATTGCTGCATACTATTTGCTGTGCCAAATCATAAATGTAATTTTGCTTATCTAGAACGATACAACAACACATCCTTCATCTTTTTCCAAATCTAGCACTTGATCCAATAACTGGAGCAGTTGAAACACCCATGAAATGGTATGATCTTGTGCATAAATGTAATGTTAAATTGTATAAAGAAATAATAAATGTAATAAATGGCATACAGTTTACACATACTACTACAACTGTATAGAAAGCTATAAGGTTGCAATTCTCAACCTTATACCTTATATCTAATTTTAGATAGTTAAAGTTTCAAAATTTGTCAAAATGAAACTTATTAACAATGAAAAATTTAACATTTATAAAATTTGAAATACTTAACAGAAATTTCCTAAGTATTGCAACTAAGTTGATTAAACACTAATGTGTTAAGTGATAAAATAGTAAATGTAGAAAAAAATTACTTAGTTCTAACAAAATTAATTATTATTTTAAATATACAAAGCAAAACAGTTTAACAACTTTTATTTGACAAAAAAATGCTGCTTAATTTTTAAGATAAAGCTATCTTATAAGCACAACTTTTCTCAAACCAATCACATACTTATTACACTAATGTTGTTTGGGAGTTACACATTGGCTCTCTGTTTTCTGTCTCTTAAGCAGTGAATATGACATCAGATTTCTAACATCATTGCATATTTATCTACAGTACATGCTTATTATTTATAATTGTTTTTGCTCATCTGCATTTGTATTTGCTAACAGTTTTTTAAAATTCTCTCTTACTAACAATTTTTCCCATACAATATTTAACAAAATATTATTAAGTTGACTAAATTACCTTATGATATAATGCAAATAGCAAATTATATATTAAGTAAAAAACTAACATACTAACCAAATATCTGAAGAAGAATAAGTTCTTTTATTGTTAGTTGTACAATATGCAAATATAATTAATGGTTACTAATTTGCAGCATATATAGCAAATAGGTAGCTACTAGGTGGCCCGATAGTTTAATTAATGTTAACTTGCATATAATTAAAATTTAAAATAAAAAAAATGTTTAAAAAGCAGGCAAATTTATAAAACAAAAATTAATGAAATTACTAAAAAAAATGAAATTACTAAAAAAAATGAAATTTAATTATAATAAATTGATTTTTTTATTATTGCTTTATTTTTNAATTAGAACTCTGGTTTTGACATCAAAATTGAAACTAAAATTAAAAATGAAATCAAATCAGCTGAAAATTAAAACAATTTTTTTAAAAGCCATTTAAAAGTTGTTTTGAAATTTTCAAAGTAATATATCAAATTAATTTTTAAATTATGTTATTTGTGTGCAGTAGTGACAGAACATTTTGCCTTTAATATATACACAAATTAATCATATTGAGTAGGTGACCACTTAATTATAATGTATTTTTTATGGATATTATAGCAGAGAAAATTAAAAATTTGTTTTTTTGATCATTTACTTGGTGATAAATTTTTCTAAACTGATTTGCAATTTGATTGGATTAAGTGTACAATGTTTTCATTTGCTGAGAAAGACAAACTAATTGGATGATTTTTAAAAGTTGCATTCATATTATCTGCTTCATTTATATTATGTCATAAATTATCAACTTCTGTTTTTAATCTAGATTGAAAAGTAAATATTATTTTTTGAATATTTTAAATTTTTAGGAAAAATCTGTTGGTTTGTTAGATGCAGATGTATACGGACCTTCAATACCAAAAATGATGAATTTAAAAGAAAAACCTGAGATTAATAAGCGTAAGTAAAAATTATTTTTAATCTGTTTTACTGAATTTAAGAAATGATTCATTTGATTCTGTTGGAACAATGTTCTAAATTGGCATATTATTTAAAATATAAATTATTTATAAATATAACAATTAAAAGAGTTATTTTGTAAAAACAATGTATTTTATATCATATTATTTAATATCATAATATAATATTTTTTCAGAAATTACATTAAAAAGATTTTTAATGTAAGAATTTTTTTATTATCTACATACTATCAAGATCTTTAAATATAGTTATGTCATAAGTAAGTTATAATTAGTCCATGTGTCCATTGAACAGAAACCACAATGCTACAAATGAGAAACTTAAAAATTGATTATTTACAGTAGTCATGTCTCCTTTAAAAGTTAGTAAACTTAACAATGTGTATGAACTGCAAATAATAGTTAACAAGTTTTATTAATTAAGTCAAAATAGCTAAGATTCTCTAAACACTGAAAAACTTCAAATATCTCATTAAATAAATACCCTATTTTTGTGGAATGAGCAGCATGCTGGAAATCCTGGGGTTATTGGCATGCCAGTTAAACTATGCTAGAAACTAAAATTAATCAGATGTAACAAAACTAGTTGTTAAACAAATGTTAAAAAAAAAACATTCTTTCCAGTAAAATATAATATTGTAATTTGACTGACTTAAAATCAGGAAGAGTGTTTTCATTTACAAGATAGTAAAACAATTAGCAACTTATTGACAGTAGTAGTAGTAGTAGTAGTAGTAGTAGTAGTAGTAGTAATAGTAGTAGTAGTAGTAATAGTAGTAGTAATAGTAATAGTTAGTGTGGGCTACATTGACCATCCACCCAACCTTAAAAATAACACCTTCCTCTCAAATTTCACATAAAGTGGATGTTAATCCATGTAAGTTGAGATAATTTAGGGTGAGTTTCTTAAATTTAATATGTTTATTTTTGTGTTTTTGACTCAAATTACAATAAAATAGACATAAAAAAGCACTTTCAGCATTCCATGAGTATTTACATTGTTAAAAAAAAGACAAAATAAAAAAATGAAACATATAATTTTAGTTTTTGTTGTAATGCTGACAGTTTTACAGTTTTAGAATAAAAACTTGTTCATTTTTTAATGTGACCTGTAGAGAAGGATGTGTACAGTATATATATATAACATACACACATCTCCCACATATACAAATGACTCTATCAATAATTCTGATACTAAAATTTCAGTCTTTTTAATCTACAATTTTTAAAAGAATAAATATTGTATAAATTTGTTGCTTGTATTATATTATTATATGTTGTCAAATTTTATGTATAATTTGTATAAAATCTCCTGTTTTTAGTGTTTCAGTAAATTTTGCACCAAATCTGTATTATATGGACTTTTACTACAGAAAGGTTGTCAACACCTGCTGTATAATATCAATGAATATATGAGAAGGAATAGAATTGTCCAAAAAATTATAAAAATAAATATTTCTTAAATTGACAATGAATTGTATAAGATTAATATTTCCTGATCCCATAAATGACCATAAATTTAGTTTCATTATATTTTGTGTTTGTATAATTATTCTGTAATTTATTATCTGATATTTATATTTAGATACAATATAAAGATGAATTCAGCTTTTTTCAGAGTTTTGGACTTGGACAAAAAAGTAAAACAAAAAAATTATAATTAGTTACAGATTAATAAGTAATGAACTCAATAATAAACTCAATGAGTAAATTTTATAAGCAGCACCAAAAAACTTTTATTCACTAATGTTTTTGGCTATTTTTGAAGTAAATAAATAACCATTATGATATTTTTAACATCATTAAAGTAAATCATTATTAATGATGGTAAAGACAGTCAATGAAATGAAATATTTAAATATGTTAAAATATTACTTTTTTGATTTTACAGAAAATTTGATGATACCTTTGACTAATTATGGAATTAAATGGTATGTATGTTGTTAAAAAAAGATTTTTTTTTTATTTTTAAATTTATGTGAAGTACATAAAAACTAATTGAATGACACTTGATTTGTAATTTGGCTAATTAATTATATATGAATTTAAAAATATTCCAAATTATGTTATTTGATATTACTCCTCATGATTTTGCTATATGAATTAAAAAAGTTTATCATTTCTGTATTCTTGGCTTAGCATATTAGAACAACAGTGAAATATCACTTACTTCTGATATGTTTTGCTGTGTCATTGTATGAGAACATTACAATTATAAAAGCTGTTGTCTGTGTCTGTCTGTCTGTCTCTGTCTCTGTTTCTCTCTCTCTCTCTCTCTCTCTGTGTGTGTGTGTGTGTGTGTGTGTGTGTGTGTGTGTGTGTGTGAATTCCTTATGTGAATTTTGGTTATAATCATTTTATGTTCTGACAGAAAGTATAGGCTATTTATTTTCCAGAAATATTAGCTATAGAATAAATGTTTTATTGATTTTGGATTGATGATTGCACTTACATTGTAGTAACATCAATGATCTCATTTAGTTCATGATTGACCAAGGAATTTAAGGACCCTTAAGTTGCATTTTAAAATATTTTGGCAAATGGTGTATTTTAACCTTACTTCATTAAATTTAAACTTTAAAACATGATAGTCGCATTGTGTCACTTCTGTATGAAATTTAAAAAAAAATCTTTTCATAGTGACCCATAACATTCTATTATCCAATCAGAAGTAATGATCTAACGAGCCTATTATTTAGAAAGTGTTATTGTTCATCTAATTAACATACACACTATTCATGTTTATTTTATCAAAGTGGAATTAAAAAGAATCACTATTTTGTCCAAAAAGAAAGAAAAAAATGCCCAGGGGAAGTGTAAGAGTAAAATTGGTTGGGTAAATTCTAGATCTAAAAGAATAAAAATAACCGGGACTCCTGAAGGCTGTGAAGTCCAACTTGAGCAACATTGAGTAAGAATGACTTTGTCAAGGGCTACAGAAACAGTATCACAACGTAAAGCTCAACTTGAAGCTCTTTTCAATTCTACAATCTCTACTTTGTCATAAAAAAAATATTTTATCATGGCTTGATGGGAAAACTTCTAGTTTATATTAGAATATTTTATAGTTTCAGCTTTTTGTGAGCTGTTACTTGATGCTTTTGTTGGTAAAACACTCTTATGATAGGTTCCAAAGTAGGATTACTTGCCACTCTCACACTTCTGTCAGGATGATGTGAAAGGATGGAGATGTAAGGGGTTAGTGGTGGTAGAGACAGAGATGCACACAAAATATACAAATGTACAATTATAATCACATTTATTTTCAAGGAAAAATTCTTACAATTAATCAAAGCCAATGCTTGAAATGGGTCTGAGTCCTGGTAGGAGACGAGGCGAGGATATAGATCCTAAATCATTGATCCTATTACTCTTGCTGACAAAATGAGATGATGATATTCTGGTCCTAGGGGTAGGATGTGTGAATTTGGATGGCTGTCAGATCCCTTGATGGTTGATCAGATTGAAGAGGAGATGATTGTTCTCTTGTTGAGGGTAATCTAGTCGAAATGAAGATTGTTGATCTCTTGTGTAGGAGCTAAATCAACTCGACAGAGGTGGTGAAGGTATGTGAAAGTTTTGAATCACCCCGAGGAGATGGTGGATCTCTCTAAAAAGTATGGAATTCGACACTTGTGCAAGATGGCTGTGTTCATTAAATAAGATAATGTAAGAGCATTCAAGATGACAATATTCAATGTCCTTCTCATCTGAACAAAAACATGAGATCCAAAACCCCCTCTCACTTGCTTATGTTTATGTCTTTCCTTTTTTGTGATCTTCAATCTGATCAATGACACACAGCGATGACACATGACCTGTAATGTCAGTGACTCACCACAGTGACACACTTCACAATGGCAGCGACTCGCACTTGTCCTTGAGGGTCAGTCTCCTTTATACAAAATCCATGACTTGGATTGGTCAAGATCTGACTCTTCCTTTTACACTCATTGGCTCACACTCTGTTGCTAGGGTTCAACTTTGCGTCAGAGGAGATGGTCATCTCCCTCACTCCCATGTTGGGGCTATTACTTTATTGCAGGCTATTACCCCAGGTGTTCACTTTCAAATCCCTTAGGTCAGTGGTTTTCAACCTTTTTTGTTGATGTACTGTACCTCATTAGCCCATTAGTTGTTTCTCAAGTACCCCTTATATTTTTGTATGTAAATTTTATAATTACTGCATTAGATGTATACAGCCCTTATAACTGAGTACCATAAAAAACACTAACTAACTATAACTAAAGGTGAATTACTTATTTTATGTAAATAATAATAAATTTAATCAGGTACTGTACATACATTTATTTATTATTATTTGATAAGTATATTATATGAAATCACAGAAGTCATTTCAATACATGCATAAATTACATTTCCTAAAAATGAATAATTATAATTAACGATAAAGAAAATTTAAATTATTCTACAATAATTTCTAACAAAATTTAATGGAATATTTGTTGCGATAAATCTTCGGCAATTTTTTCAAAATTTGGTTTCCACATTGTTAAATAGAGATTATAATTGTGTACTGACCTCAAAAGTAATGGCTGCGAATTTATAATGTGCGGAACAATACATGAATATTTCAATTTTTGTAACAAACATAATGTCTAAATTTGCTAAATATCAAGTGATGTGCGCATGCATGCATTCCATGGTGGGGGTACAATCCAGGTCTTGTTATTCCTAATATCAGTAGTCCAGTAAAAACATGAAATGCCCCAATCTTATCGAGCAATAATTATAGAATAGAAAAAAGAAACTTTTTTTTCTATTCTAAAATTAATGCTTGGTTAAACTGTAATTTTACTAGACTACAGGATCACTCAGCACTAACAGCACAAATAGACAGGCAAATCAAGTGGATAAACAAATTGTTTAGACCAGGGGTCGGCAACCTGCGGCTCGCGAGCCACATGCGGCTCTTTGGATGTGAAGCTGCGGCTCTTTAGTTCCATACGCAAATATTTATTTTATCAAAAAAAAAAAACATTTAAAAATCGTTCTGAATCAATTAACGAGGATTAGGCCCTGATTCTATCTCAGCCACTTGTATTCGCTTTTCACCGCATCCCTCCCCCGTGACACGCATCGTCACTGTTGTCAGTCCGTCGGAAGCTCTTGAATGACGCCGTTGTCGGATGTTTCTATTATCTAATTTGTTGTAAAAAACACTACTTATATATGAATAAATAGATATTTTTTCTTATGAATAAATAGATTAGTTTTTTTATCAAAAAACTTTATTTATGCGAGTACTATTTATTGTTGGCAAGAAAAAATTTTGTGGCTCTTTAAAGACTGAAATTTTGTAAATTGTAATTTTGGCTCTTCTGACTCAAAAGGTTGCCGACCCCTGGTTTAGACTGTTAAAAGGGAAATCGGTGTTCACACTGGGATATTATAAAGCAAGTTTTTGTTGTTTCTTGTTTCTTGTGTTAATAATTTACAGCAAATTGATTAACATATACCATTTTATAATGAAAGTTAGAGGTACCCCTTTGATTTACGCTTGTACCCCTAAAGGTACATGTACCCCTGGTTGAGAATCATTGCCTTAGGTAATAGCTCATAATTAAGGAAAGAGCAAACTCCCTTAGATGATGGCCCTTAATCTCTATCTGTAAAAGTTAAGAAGGCCGTACCAGAGGCTTAGCCTTAGAAGAGAAGTGAGAAGAGGATAAGAGAGGGGGGAAGGGGAAGATGGGGTAAGTATGATAGGAAAGTGTGAAGAAGAGATTTGTGAGCAGCCAGCACCCTGCTCCGTTTATTGGAACCCAAATAAATGTAATACAAAATGTAGGTACATGCCTGAAGAAAAACAATGAAACTGCTCCAATTTGTAGAGTACAACAGACTGCGGATTAAACAAAGACCATAGTAGACAACTCGCGACTTAGTGAATACAAATGTACATGACAGTTTAGAACGAACAAAACATAACATAACATGAACCCCAGCTTGGGGGGACCCTGAAGATCTAGTATTAGTTATACTGGTCCAGGATGGCCCTTAATCAGGGAAGGGAGGGTTTAATTGCTTGAAAGTCAGGCTATCTGGACCTTTTGCCTAATTGTTGCATAAAATGCTTTCCTCATCTTTCTTTTCTATAACTTGGTCCTTTCAGCCCCCCAAAAAATTTTTGTTTTTTTTTGAATTTTTGGAATGTTTTTTAAGTCTCCAAATTTTTTCAAAAATGTTTACCCGCGCAAAAAAATTTTATCGCGATTTTAAATCAATGAGCCTTTGATAAGGCTTGATTAAGGCTTAATTGTTTTTTAATGGGAGTTTTTTATCAAATTTATTTCATGGTTCCTAAGTTGTAGCGCACAGATTTTTTCGGTAAAGTTATTTAAAGCTGCTTTCTGATGTCAAAAACCACCTCCAATAGTTTTTTAATTTTTTTAATTAATAGATTTTATTATATACACGTTTAATTAAGTCAGGGGGGTCGGAAATCGCAATTAAAATTTGAATTTTTTTAAAATATTTAAAAATATACGGCCAGATAGAACTCACCCTACTTTAAACCCTTGTCCTTTCGAGACGTCTATGAGAATGTCCCGGGAAATCCGACTCCAGCTGTGTAAACAATGACTCATCGGTGTCAAATTTCGCAGAAAGGCGAGACAAGGAAAATAAAGTTTGAAGCTTTTTCTTCAAAATTAATGCATTTCTTTCTTTTTTTTCAGTTTTAAGTATTTTTTATGTTTAATTACATTAATGTCAAAAATTGCTGGGAACTTAAGGCGTTAAACTGTAAATTTTCTGTTTTATGAATCTCAACTTTTTCATTGATCACTTTCCCAGCTTAATCTCTCACCAGGACATTATCTCTCCCACTTTGAGTTTGACAAATACATTATCTTTTACAACTCTGTTTTTGAAGATCACAAAAAAGTAAAGACATAAACATAAGCAAGTGAGAGGGGGTTTTGGATCTCTCATATATTGTTCAGATAAGAAGGACATTGAATATTGTCATCTTGAATGCTCTTACATTATCTTATTTAATGAACACTCAGGTAGAGTTGGGTTTAATAATAAAAATAGAATATTGTAGCTTCTATTGTAAAATTTAACAGTTAAGAAGACAGAAGTGCCAAATTTCTCCCTAGAGGCTGAATTTTGAAATATAATTTTTTCCCATAGTTGATACATACTTGGGATAGTGTGTATATCAAATTTGGCTGAGATTTGTGTAATAATTCTTTCTATAGAGAGCCTTGTTTATATATGATCATTCTGTATAATGGCATTATACAAACATTTTGACATTTGTACAATAGGTTTTTTAAGAAATTTAAATGTGATATCACCCTAAGTAACTTTTCTTAACTGAAATCACTAATGAAGCATTTTGATTTTAAATTACTCCTTTGGGAGACTTGGGATTTAATCCAAGCAAGCATCACTAGGAGTTTTTTATAGGTGGTCTGACCCAAATAGATGGTCCCATTCTTCACTGAGCCAGACTGCCACTGTAGGCCTGGCTGAACTTGCAGTGGCATGATGAAAGTCTTTTAGTGCTCATATAGTAAAGCCAAAAATATATCAACTATATTAAAATAATATTAGATCTAAACCAGATATTATTAACTAATTTGTCTTAATGTTTGTTTTCAATTTAGTTGTCTTGAAATTTATTTTCCAAAATTTATAATACAGTAACACTTTTCATTAATTATGAGGGAGAATCATTAATTAAATTACAAATGAGATAGAAATGAAAATAAATTAGTCATTAGTATGAAAAATAACCTTTATTTCTCAACATAATCCCTATCCATATTTAATCACTTGTCCCATTTTTTTACAAGATCCTGAGAGCCAAGTAGTAACTTTCTTCTTTATGTATGGTATCATCATTGGGAAAGCATTTGCCTGAAAGATGTTTGGGGGCCAAATAAATGGAAATTACTAGGATCAAAATTAGGCTACAAGGTGGATGCTCCAGGACTTACCATTTTAATTCTCTCAGAGTCTCTGTAGTCATAACGGCAGTATGAGGATGCACATTGTCATGCAACAGCAACATGACTTTTATGAAGAGTTTTGATAACTTTCATTGAATAGCAGCACAAAGTTTTTTCATAATGTTGATGTAGGATTCGGCTGTTAGTCTTTCCATGAAGCTGGAATGCAGTAAGCAGTATGCCTTGGCAATCCCAGAAGACTGTCAACATCATCTTCCCAACCATTGGCATCACTATAAACTTTTTGCTCACTGGTGATGCAGAATGCTTCCACTGCATTGATGCTTGCTTTGATACAGGGCTCATACTGACACATACAGCACTCATCTGTGACAATCCAGAATGTCATTGTCTTCATGGTAATGCATGAGATGCTGCAATGCCAGGCCCATTCTTTGGCTTTTGTCCTGTGGTTTCAGCTGCTGCAGCACTCATCATGAGCAGACTTTGCAATAACCTAACCTGTCATGAATAATGCTGCAGGCTAAGCTGTGTGAACAAGAAATAGTAATAGCTGCAGCATCAATTTGTACTCTTGTCTACACAGATCAAATCATCAACTTGCTGCACATTTGTCTTCATGTTAATCTCCATTGGCTGACTGACTCAGTTTTCATCTTAAGTATTTGTCCACTCTTCAGAGAACTACTATATCCAATTGTGGATATCTTGTCATGATGAGCAATGTTCACCATACAAAGATTGCAGTTGTTAGTAGATATCCTTTGCCTCCATCTCTTTGGCCTGGAAAAATCACACAACAGTGCACTGCTCAATAATGGTATACACTTTAAGAGGCACTGCCATCTTACAATAGTTGCTGTTGCATTTCACTTTTGTGCATATTGACAATCTTGCATCATGTGACACCTGGATAATTTGCAATCTTGCAGTGATGGCCTTGGGCATCTAATCTAAAAGTATGCATTGCTAACTCTCATTTTTAACTTACTTAATTGACTCCCTTGTACTTTAGATTGGTCTGTTTAATATTTAATATAATTAAATATGGACTAAATCCATCATGTTTATAGCTAAATATTCAATCTTTAACTACAAATGAACTTATTAATAAAATTATTTTATGCACATATTTTTTTTTAGTAAAAAAATGTATATCATAATAAATATAAACTAACTGGAAAGTAGAAAATTGATTAATATTAACTTTTTAAGTATGTGGTTTGTAATATAAGAAAACTTTATATTAAATGTATATTTTATGTATCTTTGTTGTAATCTTAGTTTACTTAAGAAAAATAAGATGATGAAAATTTACTACAGAAATATCAAATATATATATATTTTTATTTTTAAATACAGCACATTTTAGTGAAGCTCTTAAGTCTTAAGAGTTTTAAAAATGATAATGAAAATTAGAATAATATAACTATGCAGTAACTAAATATTTCAAAGTAAAAAAATTTAGTATTTTATTAAATATCTTTTGCAGTATGTCAATGGGGCTTCTTGTTGATGAAAAATCTGCTATTGTATGGCGTGGCCTAATGGTTATGTCTGCAATTGAAAAATTATTGCGGCAGGTGAGTTTTAAGCATTTTAATTTAATTAATAATAAATTACAAATTAAACACTAAAATTTACATTCATCACATTTTTAACCATAAAAATTTAGAACAAAAAAAATAAATTGGTTATTGATGAAAAGAAGTTTTATTTATTTAATAAATTAAATTAATAGTCTATATTAAATTAAAAAGAAATTCTGTTTAATTCTATTTTGCTCTCAAATTGTAATGAAATGTTAGATATTTCTCAAATTAAAGAAATAATAATTTAGACATCTTTTTGACTTTTTAAATTAAAATGTAAAATATCTAAAAGTTTATGGAAAACAAAAAGACATTCAAGACCATCTTTAAATTATTTGTTGAAAAGAATAGTTTTTAAAAATGATTAAATTCAATATTTTCATTTTGGAAAATATGAAAACAAAATTAAAAGTAACATAGAATTACAGACTTTTTTCATGTTTTAATTTTAGTTTCTCAGGTTTTAGAAACAGCAAAATTATAAAACATAGTAAGAGAGAGAACATTAATAGATTTCCACAGAGGTTTTTAATCAGAACTCATGTTCACAGGACAAACATAGCATCCTCTGCTCTCTAATTTTTTAAACGTTACAAAAAGGTTAAAGTTCTTTGTTTCAACAATAGGATAACAGATAAAGGATAAATTAAAGAGAGTTCCTCAATTTGAGATTCTTTTCTGGATACTATAATCTTGGAATCCCAATTTTTATTTGAAAATTTCAGGTTTGGATAATTACTCTAAGAAATCTTGGTATTTTAACTGTAGTATATGTTTTCATTTCTAGTACTTTTTATATTTATATACTTTTTGCTTTTGATGTAGAAAACATTTTTTACTAAATCATCATAATTAGTGCTGGCAACAAAACTAATTTTTGGTAAAATTGATAACCTGGTAATTGATAAACTACAATTTATGAAAACCAAAAGCAGGATTTGATAATATCTGTAACGTCATTGTTTACTTGTCATTTTTGACTTTTAGTTGGCAGAAAAGTATGCTTAGATCCCCTGTGAGTGCAATAATCTTATGCCTTCTTTAGTATAGTTGGTGTTGGATCCTCTTTTAGTATAATTGATTCAGACTGTTGAAGGAATTCATTGGATCTTGATAGGAAATCCTGGTTTTTGCATAACACAAATCTTTTAGCTTTATCTGCTACCAACAGATTTAAATGATTGCTTGTAAGATACGATTTAACTATCCAAGCAGTTTGTGCATTTGATTTGCTGGATTTCGAACTTCGTTTTGATGCCATGTTGGTTATTGCAGAAAGCTCCAATTTAGGTTGCAATTCTGGACTGCAAGTATTCTTTATAGCGGCAATGATGGGAGGAATGAGTTGTGGATAATCAAACATTAGAGTAGGTATATGTTTCGGACCTTGTGATATTATTTGATGAATATTTGCTGGTACATTTGCATTTGCAAAATTATAATATGGAATTTCAATGATTTTACTTCATTTGTGGCAGGACGTTTTCTGTAACCAATAATATTTACTATTCAATTTCTTCCTGACTTCTTGTGCATTTTTGTTAGCAATATATCTTATTTTGTCCAGTTGTTGGTACAGAATAGATGGATCACACTGTGTGATCCGTCTATTCTGTACCAACTTGTCGAAGAAGAGGTGGGCCAGGTACATCTTATCTTCTTCTTCTGATATCATTCTGCGTTTATTCTTAATAAGTCTTGCTAGGAGACTTCATTCCATTTGAGGTAATAGAGTTTGAACTTCTATTGGAAATGCTTTGTATTTAAAAGAGATGCACTTGGGGATGAGTCCGTTCTTTCGACACTTTAATAAAAACAGTGGCGTACCGTGGGTGCTAGCCGCCCGGGGTGGAGGAAAATTTCAGCCTTCCTTATTTAGGTATTTCAATTTAAAAGACCAAAATTCAGTTTTGTCACAGAACAAGCAATGAAAAATTCGGTGGTAGTGCAGCAACCTGTTTAAAATAATTCTATTGGATATTATTGGTGTATATAATCGCGAATGAATCGTGCAAGCAAAAAAAAAAAGGGTCAACAGGTTTCGGAGGAACTCCTCGGATGAAAAAGTTACTACTTCACCCGGCGAGCCGATTCCCGGACTGTCCGGACGATAGCACTATCGTAGGCGCGATGCAAGTATAGATTTCTATGCTGTGCTTTTTGATGTTCTCTATCCATTGCTCACTATTGGGTGGGAGGATACCGTTTTTGATAT